AAGGCTCAGAGATTCCCACACTACGGTGGGAAGGCTTGAAGCATGGAGTGTTGCAGCCGAAATTCCCAAGCGCAGTGACTCAGAGGTATAGAAAAAAAAGAAACCCTCCACGTTACCGGAGATATGCCTTTCATCCTTATTCTTTTGTTCTTGACTATTGCTCAAAGTCAAGTCAAAGTCAAAGTCAGAATAAAAAGGACTTCACACGAGTTATCTCTAGTATTTCATCTTTTGTACCAACTAGATTAATAGGTAAAAGTTCATCAGAGGTCTAACATTTTGTCTGGATTGCCTTAATCAAAAGCCCAGACTACACATACCAGCCCTACTAGTTAGGAGCTGCACTCAACTCACAAGCAGCAAACCCATCTGCTTAAGCGTTGCTGGTGCTTCATATAAAAGAGTGATCTGAAAAGTCATGATCACGACATTATCTATTTAGTTATTTTATTTATTTATTTTGCACACAAGGTGCGCCACTAGCAAACATAATAGGGAAACAATAGAGCTAGACAACACAGAAAATTCAGAAAAGCCCATCGTCGTATGTACCTCGGCCTTACAAATTGAATGAAAACCCATGTGATAATGGTACTTCCCATTACACATACTACACATACTAGATGTCATATTTGCATATGAATACATTGAAGTAAAAGGAAATAAAAGATAGTGGGCTCTCATTGATGTCATTGGTATCTCTAACATCATTAGTGGGCGGAAAAAAATGCTCAGCTATCCACTCGCACCTCTGACCACTGCAGCTGGTTGAAGAAACAACATGTTCAGATTGCTGAGATACACTGTACTCTGACGTAGCCGCCAAATCAGGACGTTGATGTCCTTTTGCTTCTAAATGAATAGTAGTGCGGTCCAAACAACGTCAGAGATAGACATTGGCTTCGATAAGTCATTTTAGAGTTCCCTCTGAAAAACTAGGCTGCTTAAACTCTTTTCAACTGTCAAACTTAATGTTGCTCGCTTAAGTTCGCCACTTCACATCTGATCATCCGCGATGATGAACATGAACACGCGATGTTCTTGAATTGAATGCTTGTTGAGTGGTGATTTTGTGCTCGTGCCTCTTTCCGGCGAGAGGTTGCATGAACGCACTTAAAGAATCCCTTCATTTTGACTCTATACATGAGTTACACGTCTGTCCTTTGATTCGATAGATTTAACGCGCGTCGAAGTAATGCTCCTTTGTCCTTTTTAGATGTATAAGGGGCATGAGCTACCAATTATAGTGCCTATTTTGTTAGAAGTGGCTAGTAACACTGGTACTCCGAATTCTAACTAAAGCAACATGGCAGTATACATAGTTGTGCTTACGTCAGCACCTCGAATGGCAATTACATCTATTCTACTTTATCAAAGGGTGCGCTGCTACCGGTGGGCTACCTTCCTTTTTATGTTGAGCTGCAATCTATCGTGTCTGTCAGCTACTACAAAGGCACACGCAGTGTTCGCCGAGGTACCGTTATCGGCATGGGACCAGAAGATGCTACGTAACGGCGCTTAGCCATGGACACTGGCCTGGTTACTAATAAACTTGCCATCCCTGGCCGTCGTATTGTCAGCCAAATTAGCCGTCGTCCTTCGTCCTGTCGATCGCAGCGCTCGACTCCGACTCCAGCCGTGAAATTCTCTTGTCATCACAGTACATCAACTACTGCCATCTGCTATCTGGCACTAT